TTCAGAAGATAATTCTACTGTTGTTGTTAGTGAAAAGAGACAAGAACATCGTGAACAACATGGAGTTGGTCAAGTATGTGCCGCTATGGTTGTGGATTTTTTCCCTGTTGCTAAACCTCATCAGTTAGTTGTGACAGAACAGCAGGAAGAGCAAGCAAAAAGGAAACCAGCTAAAATAGGGAAAAGGATTCGTATGGAGAGTATTTGGTTGAAATCTCCTTACGTCATTCCTAAACAAAAGCGATGGGGCAAGAATGGAAAGCAGGAAAGACTACACGAAGGTGTCCATTCCATTATGTTAATCAATACAGTGAATTGATGCAGAGATTTACAGACTGGTTGAAGACGGACGCCAGTGAATATAATTCCAAGCCATTCAGATTAGTTGGAATTGATATTCCAAAGTCATTCTTTACCGAGCTTGTGGACGCTACCTCTGATCTTTCTAATGAAGTGAGTTATTATGTTTGTTTTTTAAATTGGTTTTCAAATGTATTTCCTAAAACATCAGCCTTATGTTTGTTTAAAAGTTTTTGTATTGTAATTTGGTAAACTTCAGGATAACGCATGCTAAAACTGGTGAAGTTGTTTAGCTTATTTGCTAAAACTTCAGACTAAATATGCTGAAGTTTTTGCCATGCAGTCTCTAGTTTTAGTCTGAATTTTTTTTTTTTATAAACTTTAAATCAAACATGCTGAAGTTTTTTAGGTTATTTCCTAACACTCTGCAAGGCCCAGTAAAATTCTTCCTAAAATCCGAAATTTCGTGGTGCCAAGTTAGGATTATGTGTTAGAGATTATTGAAATTCTCGCAGTTCGGACTTTTTGGATTGAACAGTACGCCACGGAGTTAAAGGAAAATGTTTTGTAGAAGTGTGCATTTCTGCGGCCCATTATGCGGCTGTATAATCACTCTGCAGGCCACAGAGAGGTAGTATTTTTGGCCAATTTTGAGGTTATTTTCGCGGCCAATTATGCAACCGCATATCTATTTCGCGGGCCGCACTTTGGTCGCATAATCCTCCTTGGTCTTTTGCGAAGGGAGGTTCTGCGGCGCATTATGCGACCACAGAACAGGTCTGCGGACCGCATATTGGCCGCAGACCGAGGCAGAAAATTTAGGTCCCAGAGGGCCACTTTTCGCGGTCATCTCGCTGGCCGCACATCCATTATGCGGTCGCATATGTGACCGTAGATCCGTGTCGGGGCTCCAAATTTCTAAATTTTGTGCAGAATAGGCCTAAATCATTGCTTGTGGCAGAGGTCTAGGAGAAGCAATACAATGATCCACTATTGGTACAACTGAAGGAGGGGATTCATAAACATAAGAATACAAATTTTTCTCTTGGCATGGATGATGGTACACTACGGTACCAAGGGCAGCTATGTGTTCCAGATATTGATGGTCTTCGGGAAAGAATCATGAAGCTCACACTTCCAGGTTTTCCGTACACCCAGGTTCTACAAAAATGTAGCATGATCTCAAGGAATTCTATTGGTGGAATGACATGAAAAGGAATGTGGCGGACTTTGTGGCAAGGTGTCCGAATTGTTAGCAAGTGAAGGCTGAACATCAACGTCCTGGTGGGTTAGCACAAAGCATAGAAATTCCAATGTGGAAATGGGAGATGATTAATATGGATTTTGTGGTAGGGTTACCACGCACTCCGCGCAAGTTTAACTCAATTTGGGTTATTGTGGACCAACTCATGAAATCAGCTCATTTCTTGCCAGTCAAATCTACCGACACAGCAGAACAATACGCTCAGTTGTATATCAAGGAAATAGTCAGGCTTCACGGCACTCCAGTTTCCATCATTTCGATCGAGTGGCTCAGTTCACAGCAAATTTTTGGAAGAAATTTCAGCAAGGTTTGGGTACGCAGGTAAATCTTAGCACAACCTTCCATCCACAGACCGACGAGCAAGCAGAGTGGACTATTCAGACGCTTGAGGACATGTTATGTGCTTGTGTTCTTGATTTCAAAGGTAGCTGGGATGATCATTCGCCACTCATAGAGTTTGCTTATAAATAGCTATCATGCTAGCATTCAGATGGCACCATTTGAGGCGCTATATGGTAGGAGATGTAGATCTCCCGTTGGGTGGTTCGAGATTGGGGAAGCTGAATTGATAGGACCAGACCTCGTGCATCAAGCTATGGAAAAGGTTAAGATCATAAAGAGTAGTTAAAAACTGCCAGAGCCGTCAAAAGTCCTATTCGGATGTTCGTCACGGGGATTTAGAGTTCAAAGAGGATGATTGGGTATTCTTGAAAGTTTCACCCATGAAGGGTATTATGCGGTTTGGGAGAAAAAGGAAATTGGGTCCGAGGTATGTCGGGCCGTACAGAATCATTCAGAGAATTGGCCAGGTGGCGTACAAGCTTGAGCTACCACTGAGATGTCATTAGTGTACCCGGCATTCCATATGTCTACATTGAAGAAGGTAGTGGGAGATCCATCAGCTATCGTGCCAATCAAGACTATTGAGGTTAATGAAGAACTGTCATACGAAGAAATTCCAGTAGCCATTCTTGATAGGCAGGTCCGGAATTTGAGAAATAAAGAAATTGCCTCCGTAAAGGTGCTATGGTGGAACCAGCAAATTGAAGAAGCTACGTGGAAAACCGAGGAAGAGATGAAAAAGAAGTACCCTTGTTTGTTTGAATAGCCATCTAACAGTTTCTATGAAGGTTACTTCCTATAAATTTTGTATCACTTGTTCAATTAATGTAAAGGTGTTCTTTTGGGTTATATGATGCTTATGAGGCCACAATTGGTATTGTTGTGAGTTTTGTTACGTAGTTGGGTTGTGCATATATTTGTAAGATGTGTTTCTACGGCTCTCTGACAGGTGTATAGGCCTAGTTACAAAGGAAACTTTGGCAAAATTTTTGGAAATTTAGGGAGTTAGCCAAATTTGGGGCTACTGGTGTGTGGTGTGAAAAACTGCGCTTCCTGGGTGAGTCCCAGTTTGCTTTATTCCTCTTCCACTGGAGGGTTATTTGTTTTTTCTTTGTAGTTGTTCAATACCGAGCCATTTCTCTTATTCGTGATATGCTGCGGTTTGGGGGGTTTTGCTCGGTCATTACTTGCGGGGCGGTATGCTATGGAACCATCTCAGGGGTGTTTTGGAGGCAGTGGTTCCTCGCTCGCTTGGTCGTGCGGGCGCTCGCATTCCTGTTTGAACCAACAAAGGAGTGAAGATAAACCAAAAATGAAATTTTTTGTTACCTCGCCCAATAAGTCGGTGGAAGAAAGAGCGACGTTGTAGGGTTACTCGCTCCGCCTGGTACTCGGATGCTGGCTTTAGATTTGGCGGCTATTTTTGGCTTCATCGTTGACAGCGCCTAGGATTTTCACAGGTCGAGCCCGCCTCCCTCGCTAAAGTGTTGAAATAGAGTCCTGGTCTGATCTCGTTTGATTTGCACAGACAACAAGGGAAACATATCACACTTCGTTCATAGACCATCTATGGCGTGTGGGGGAGTGTGAAAATAGGGTAGAAACGTCAAATGGAGCTGCGGTCACACCAGGCAAACGTGATCCCATTTTAGACGTGCATATGTCGTGTTAGACCCATCGTTACAGGTGGGACGTGGGTTTTGCATAGACATTGATTATAACTTCTACTTTATGCAGCAACCTGACCTAGGTTGGTGCGGTCGTCTCAGAGGCTTACCTACCACTCTTTCGAGTTGGTGGTAGTGCCGAGAAGGTGAGGCCATGATAGTCTGGTAGCGATATTTTGCTGGTTCTGGAACTAAAGGAAACTTAAAAATTTGGCTAAGAAATCACCACAGACGGAGCCAAATTGTTTAACCAACAACTCATTAAACCCTTTGATTAAACCGATTAGTAAACAAAGAAAGGTAAATCTTAGACAAACATAATTAAATCTAGATCTGAATATATTGGACATAAAAATTGGAGAAGAACAAATAGATTTAATATTTCTTCAGATGATTATGACATATTAGGTGGAAATGATAAGCTTACATGTATAACGGATTTACACCATAATCGTAAAAGCATGAAAGGAGAAGAGAGAAAGCTGTTGACAGCTAAGAGATCCCTTTGGTTCTCGGTTCCGTAATCATGACTCTCCATGTAGTAGCCAGATCTCTCCCTGTGATGGATTCCTGCCTCCCTATATATACTAACAATTTTCCCTTTTATCCAACGATCTTTGACCGGTGTGCTTTTTCATGACCGAGTCCTTCATTACTTGCCCAAGAGACTACGCTTGTTCTGTAATACAAGCTTTCTAACGGTTTGACCCCGGCAGGGACCGTGGTGCAGTCGCCATTACGCCCCGTGGGCACGACCATAGCGGGGTCGACCTCTTACCGTCTCATTTTGTGATAACCATATGGTGGTCAGATTTCGACCCATACAAATATGACAAAAGATGAAGTATTCTATCAAGATTATCATGATTCAACTTCAAAAACACATAACTTTTAATCCAAAATGAATCTGGCAATCACCTTGTAAGATATCTCCTGTTGGCCTTACAAAGAAAGCAATAATATTCTCTCTCTCTCTTTCTCTAAATTCCTCTCTAAGTTTTAAGTCATATTCATCGATAGCTATTCTCTCGGTTTGCCTATTATATCTCGCCTCAGCATTTTATTATTTCTTAGTCTGTTCTTCAAACGTTTGACTCAAAATTGATCATATAAAGCTTTACTTACTTGTGTATTTATCTGCTATTCACCTTCCCTACCACCCTCGACAGGCCCGAGGTAGGCTCGAGGCCTAACCCCGAGGTACCCCCTGGTTTGCTCTAAAGATCGGGAATGATCCCTTACTGGTTCGATTATCGTTTTGGCTAGCTCGATCTTTACTGTTTTACTCCATGTTTTAGCATTAATCACCCTTCCAAACTAGCTCGGGAATAGATCACGTATTTTTAGAACTCCATTAATAAATTTAATTGTTGTTACTATTTTCACGGTAAACAAAAAGTACTAGAGAAAGTTTTCTGGCCATCGTCTTACCTCCTGCGATAACTTTTAATCCAAAATGAATCTGGCAATCATCACATCTAAACCACATTTTCAATGCTTCAAACAGTCTGTGATTTAAAATCTGCTACAGAAAGTTGCAATAATTATAAGACACTATAGAATGGTGATAGGCTCAAAGAGTAGTTTGGAAATCCGATTTATGATGTGGGAATTTTGAATTCCATGCCCATCTCCATGCTGATACATGCAGTGTGATGCTCTTGAAAAATTTAATGCAATCCCAATAAATGCTTCAGAAAATAGTAGCTCTTCCATTTGGTCTTTGTTCATCACTTCCCACGTCTCCTTTATCAAAATTCTAATTCCTTCTTTTGCCTCTTCTTCGGAAACACTTTTCTCATTCATGTAACATTGGATTGACTTGGAAACATCACCCCTTTTTAACTCTTCCTGAATTAACAAGAACAAAAAATGAACCATATTGTGAATTTGCTTTACGTATAATCTTCTCAAGTCTTAGTGTCTCTCCATCCGAATGGACTCTAAATTAAGTTATTTTGAATCATAGTATAAATTTTATCTGAAAGAAAGGTATAAAAACGTACCGATGATGTCCCCAAGTCATCAAGAAAACGATTAATTATAGCACACCGACGAATTATGTCAGGATATTTGTTTAAGGATTCCATTGCCTCTTTCGTAATTGGATTGGTGACAAGGGGGAATGCATGGACTAATATCAAAGGAGTTGCAATTGAAATCCATGCATTATCTATGTATTCTTCCAGAGTTGGCGTATATCCGTTGTAGTACCATCTTGCTTCTCGTAAGTAAGCTTTGCATAAGTCTGCCCACTAATAAATAAATTGTCTCAAATAATAGTGCAAAACTGCAAATAAAAGAATGAGTTAAAGATTCTAAGTATAAAATGAATTACTTGTTTTGTAAAGTAGGGTAGGAAATTGATCCCTTTCTCTTTGAGAATATCATACGCCATTTCATTGGTACTGTTGAATAGTGCAAGGTAACATATTTTCATATAGTCCGGAAGCTGCTCCATTGCTTTTATATCCCATCTGAATTTATATTACCAGAAAGCAAAGTTTCACATGACGATTAAGAAAACTAGCTTCTTCTATTTATAGATGTGATTGCTTCCTTAAAGTTGCTGACCTTTCAACAGCATCAGTAAAGATTTCCAACTCCTCAAGAGTGCCATAAACATCATAAATATCATCTAGGACTACAATAAAAGCTATAACCTTTGTCAACATTCTTCTGCAGTATCTGTATTGAGGCTCAAATAGTAACCCCACTGTCCAAAAGAAAGCCTCCACCACTCTATCCCTTGAAAATGACAACTTCTCTGCTAAACATGTGCTCTTCCACCACCTTTATATTACATGAAAATAATTGCTGTATGAGAAAATTACCGAGCATGTTTTAAGTCATATCGATAAGCATAATTAAGGAGTTTCAAAGTTAATTACTGATGATTAATAATTAAGTGGAATTAGCAACTTGGATAATAAGGTACTATGTGTATTGGTCAAAATCTGACCACTGTGGTCGACCCAACTGGAACCTGCTTAGGTGGCGGGATAGCGAGAGACATCACGACCTACTTCAGTCCAAGCGCCTACAGTGTACGCTAAGTTAAAAACAATACTCAAGTAACAACGGAAAAGGTCGTAGTGTGAAGGCACATCGACCCAAGAATATATCAAGGATCCCTGGACTATATATAGGGGAGGGATTCTCAAAGAAAGGGGGGCTTTTTTCTTTTTCTTTCTCTCTCTTTGTTTTCTCCGGCAATTTCTTTCCGAAAAGGATGAAAAATTGATCATTCTCTCTGTCTCACGAAAGAATGAAACATCAATAAAGACTGATCACTCTTATTTTATTTTACTTATTATTTTCTGATTCATCTTCAGATCTGGAGTTTATTATGCTTGACTAAGATTTACCTCATCTTTATCATTAATTGATTTAATCAAAAAGGTCTTGATATTTTTTGATCAAACAATTTGGCGCCGTCTGTGGGGATTTCTTAGTCAAAATTCCTAGTCTCTTCCAGATCAAAAACCGAAAACATAATCACCCACCAAGAAGAGCGGTAAGTAAACCTCACATGCTTCTAGATCATGATGCTACATACAAGCAGAAGTTACAACCAACATCCTCTCCCGCACACCGGGCGGTCCAGGAACAAGCTAAGGCGAGCCAACCCACGTGGAGCTAGTGCACAAAAAGAGGGGGAAAGAGAGTTGAATACGGCCACCGAATTTAGAAACCAACACCCCATCAACCATTTAAACGCCAGGCAAAGCGAGCAACGCTATAGCCCCACCCTCATTCACCGACTCATCGGATTGGGGTAAGGAAAATATCATTTTGGCTCTCCTTCTATTGTTTGCTCAAACAGGAACACAAGCGCCGCTCGGGCAAGCGAGCAAAGGAACATCTCAACTAGAGAATGGGAAACTACTACAAAATAACCGAAATATCGCCCACCTGACACTTGAACTCCTAGAAAATGACATCCCTTAAGTCGTATTCTCTCTCCCTCACCCAGGAGTTGTCCCAATAGGGTTTTCCCGGGGAGGTTTGGACCGAGTCGATGAGGGGGACGTCACTGAGTTCAAAGTATAATTCATCGCCCCGCCTGCCAACGACATCTCCAGACCGGAAAGCGAAAGGACTAGACAGGGAAACTCCAATATATGTATAAAATGAACGTGAGCAAAATAGCAACATTTTATACCCTCCGACATTGCACTCTCCAATGCAAACAAAATCAAGCGAACTGGGACTCACCCAGGAAACGCAGAGGTTGAGCAAAACTGGGACTCCTCCAGAGGATACCCGAAACTCTCTAGAAAAGAAAAAAAACTAGGACTCCTCCGGAGGATACCCGAAACTCTCCGGAAAAAAAAACTGAGACTCATAGCAGGTTAAAATTTCGACGAAAGCTCGAAATAACATCCTTAAGGCCAAGCGCCATCACCAAAAAGAAGAGTTCGACCTCGCTCGAACAACGACGGGTTAACACTTCGATGAAAGTTCGAAATAACACCCTTAAGGCTAAGGGTCATCGTCAAAGAGAAGAGTTCGACCTCGATCGAGCAACGAGGGGTTAACATTTCGACGAAAGTTTGAAATAACACCCTTAAGGCCAAGCGCCATCGCCAAAAAGAAGAGTTCGACCTCGCTCGAACAACGACTGGTTAACACTTCGACGAAAGTTTGAAATAACACCCTTAAGGCCAAGGGCCATCGCCAAAGAGAAGAGTTCGACCTCGATCGAGCAACGACGGGTTAACATTTCGACGAAAGTTCGAAATAACACCCTTAAGACAAAGGGCCATCGCCAAAGGGGAAGAGTTCGACCTCGCTCAAACAACGACGGGTTATCACTTCGACGGAAGTTCGAAATAACACCCTTAAGGCCAAGGGCCATCACCAAAGAGAAGAGTTCGACCTCGATCGAACAATGACGGGTTAACATTTCGACGAAAGTTCAAAATAACACCCTTAAGGCCAAGGGCCATCGCCAAAGAGAAGAGTTCGACCTTGATCGAGCAACGACGGGTTAATATTTCAACGAAAGTTCTAAATAACACCCTTGAGGTCAAGGGCCATTGCCAAAGGGGAAGAGTTCGACCTCGCTCGAACAACGATGGGTTAACATTTTGACGAAAGTATGAAATAACACCCTTAAGACCAAGGGCCATCACCAAAGAGAAGAGTTCGACCTCGATCGAACAAAGACGGGTTAACATTTCGACGGAAGTTCGAAATAACACCCTTAAGGCCAAGGGCCATCGCCAAAGAGAAGAGTTCGACCTCGATCGAACAACGACGGGTTAACATTTCGACAAAAATTCGAAATAACACCCATAAGGCTAAGAGCCATCGCCAGAAAGAAAAGTTCGACCTTGATCGAGTAATGACGGGTTAACATTTCAAATAACACCCATAAGGCCAAGGGCCATCGCCAAAAAGAAAAGCGCTTTCGCTCGAATCAACAATAGTTTGGTCCCACCCGGACAACCCAAGTCATGACTGGCTTCGTCCAAAATAACAAATACGTTATATAATCTCGTTTTGAATCAAGAGCGAATCTGCTCAAAGCAATAAGTCACCTGTCGACCTTGCCCAAATAGGCAGACCAAATAAGACTCCATTCGGACTCACACGACGAAGTCCTACTCAGTCCGGCTGAGATTAAATTCCCTGAAAATTAGGAATTCACCATACGGAAATCCAAAATTTCACACCAAAGTTATGTAAAGCAAAGGAAGAGAAGCGCAAAGGACTTACACCGATGAAAACTTTTTTTATTTAAAGCAGTTGCACAAATAGTCGCAAATTACACACGGTTGAAACCGGGCAAGTTCAAAGGAAAATATAACAACAAAAAAGACAACAAAAAAAGGAACAACAAAAACAAAGATGAACAACTCTTTTCACTCGGCGTCATCACCGCCACCCTCCTCATCACCATCTCTCGGAAGTCCCTCTTCAGCATCAACATCCTCGTCGGCCTCCGTCGTTGCTGGATCATATCCACAGTTAACATGAGCCTCTCGTGCCTTCGCCCGCGCTCCTTCACATGCAGCCTCAGAAATATTGCTCGCTTCCACAAACTCTTATATATGTCCCGCTGGGCTTCGGCATGTACCCAAAGCTCGTGTAGATGACGGGGGACAACGGCAGAGGCAGAACTTGGGCCAACTATTGTGCCTTCTCGGCCTCAAGAGCAGCGACCCAGTCCCCCAAAGTCGAAGCTTCCAGGTCGATTTCACCAATACGCACTTCGAGCCTTACCTCCCTAAGCGTCGCCGTCGCCCTCTCAGATTCCTGCTCGGATTGAAGGACTCGGATGGTGTCCTCTAAAGCCGCCGCCCTCGCTGAAGCCAACGTCCAAGCACTCTCGATATTCTCCAACCCGAAAACCTTTCTCTCCAGCTCGGCTAACTTTCCCACCCATTCCGCACTCATCGCCTCGACCTTGATGGCGTTCTGATCCATCTCGCCTTACATCGACCGCACCTTCGCGTGAAGAAGTTCACACTCTACGGCAACCCCTTTACCTAATTCAAGTTCTTCGTCCTTTAGACGAAGTTTCTCCTCGAGCTCGCTACTCCTGCAAATAGCCTGCATCAGCTCCTGATCCCTATTCTCCAGTTCCTCACCAAGGGATCGATCACCAGCGTTCGCCCTCAGCCGCTCGTGCATCTCACGGCACTTATTGCGGTAGTGCCGATACTTCTCCAACATCGTCAAAAAAATTTTTGCTCGAGTGTCGACCCTATGAGCACTCTCAATCTCCACTATGTACGTCTGAAAGACGAAAAGATTGGTTAAGGCCAAGGTCTCCAAAGATGAAAAGAACATAAAAGAAAGGAGAAACTTACCCTCAGGCCCATATAGGCCACTTCATGCATCAAATCAACATCACGAATGTCCCGGAGAGCCTCGCTCTCGGCGGCAGAACACAAAAGGTCAAACTGCGGAACCAGGTCTTCCGATCCCCCAGAAGGTTAATATCCGACGAGCTTTCAAGTATACGGGACGGGCCTCCCGCATGTACCACCGTACGGGTAAGGCCCTCTTCAAATATCCTGACGTCATCAGGATCAAGATCAGACTGAGATTCGTAGTCATCGACCACGACGCCTTTTCCCCTCTCTGCGGCCGAAGAAGAAGCACGACCCGATCCAGAAGATGAAGGCCCACCCAAAGTAACAATAGTGGCCTCGGGACTCCGGCTCCCCGTCGTAGTAGTCTGTTGGACACTTATAACGACCGGGGTCTCTGTCGACGGGTTGGTCACGGTGACCGGCTCTACCTCTGCAGACGGGTTAGCATCCATCAAGGGAATGCAGCCCTCGGAACAAACCACTGCAGATGGAGTCGTTTGAGACTCCACTCGTCATCTCTTTGACGGACCCTCACCATCCTCGGAATGGGAAGACTCCCTCGTTGGGCAGATAGTAGAAGTCGGAGCCCCAGATTGAGGAACAGTTTCCGTGCACACGGCTACGGCCGCAGATTCAACTTCAGCAGCCCTTGCCGTTGGTCGGGCAGCAGGCCTCGGTACGGGCCAAGCAGAGGATGTCGGCTGACGAAATGCAAGTGGAGGAGCCCTCGCCCTTCACACTCTCCCTGCTAACAATAAATGTCATATAAGCAACCAAGCCAAATTGCAAAGTGGAAAACAGACTGCGGTAAAACAACTTACCAGCAAGGGGCTTACGTCCATATTTCTCGTAGAAGGACGACCATTAGCGAACTCTTGCCGCATGAGGAAGAATGGCGTTCACCCATTCGCGGATGTCGTCAATAGGCGCGGGGGGTAGTCTCGCGGCTGCAAAAACAAAAACAGTTCAATACTACCCAAAGAAAAGCGGTCGACTATTACTCCGATAAAAGATATAAAACTTACGTGCGAAGTTCCATTTCTCAGGGAACCCTGCAGGATCTGCCACAAGGTGTTCGGTCCGCACAGAAAAATAGTTCTCATAGAAACGACGGTTGGCTCTGTCGTCCATCTTCACCACCAGACTTTTCGTCCCTCGGTGGCGCATGTGAATCATCGTGCCACGAATGAGTTGGGGAGCAAAGATATTGAGCATGTGTCTCAAAGTGATCTCCTGACCGGAAAGCTTCGCAAACTTGAGCAGCATAAGGAACAACTTATACAAGTACGGCGAAAGTTGAGCCGGACACACCTCGTAGAAACGGCAAAAATCTACCACCAAGAGAGGGAGAGGAAGCGTATACCCGACAATAAAGGGATAGGCATAGAACACACAATACCCTGGGCGATCAAAATGTATAATGTCATCCCCCACCGCCGGCAACATTTCGACGTAGTGAGGGATCCCCCATCAGGACTTCAGCTCCGCAATCCCCGCCTCAGTCATAACAGAGGAAGCAGGTTCCGGCTCTTCTCCGGCAGGACTGTGGAAATCGTTCCACAGCTTTCTAGGGCGAGGTAATATTTCGGCCGCCGTTGGAACCCCCTCATCCTCTATCACTTCTACTCCTCCAGGAGCAGGGACATCACTTTCCGGCGCCGGAGTTGCGACAGGATTGTCAGCGCGAGGAAGAATTACCAGCCATTTTTATCGATTTAATAGAGAGAAGGCATGAAGAAAAAAGAAGAGACTGGAACGAAAATTTCTGGCTAACCGAAGAGAATAAAAAATTTGAAGTATCGGGAAAGAGGAAAATCCTTGAAATTCTTTCAACAAAGGCAAGAAAGTGTGTCAATCGAATGGTGTTTTCCTTCTATTTATAGGGACATAAATTTCCCAAGCGAAAAACCCAAGAGTCGCCAATCGAAACTGATAGGGCATGAAATGGTTCAATCCCCGGGAAACGTGTGTCATAATGGCAGCGGACACGAACGACGTTTCGAATTAAACAACGCGTCGGTTCCGAACGGTCACGACGGTCCAAAGGTATCGTTGGAGCGCCGCGTCGTTGCCTCGATCTAAAAACTACGCCCAAGGCACGAATAGTCAGATTTCTCCTAAGTGTTCGAATTTATAATCCGCCCGCCGAGCCCAACGAGAGATGACCCCGACGGACGGAGGGACTAGCTGTATTGGTCAAAATCTGACCACTGTGGTCGACCAAACTGGGAACCCGCTTAGGAGGCGGGATAGCGAGAGACACCACGGCGTCGTCCAAGCGCCTACAGCGTACGTTAAGTTAAAAACAATACTCAAGTAACAACGGAAAAGGTTGTAGCGTGAAGGCACACCGACCCAAGAATATATCAAGGATCCCTGGACTATATATAGGGGAGGGATTCTCAAAGAAAGGGGGGCTTTTTTCTTTTGCTTTCTCTCTCTTTGTTTTCTCCGGCAATTTCTTTCCGAAAAGGATGAAAAATTGATCATCCTCTCTTTCTCACGAAAGAATGAAAACATCAATAAAGACTGTTCACTCTTATTTTATTTTAATTATTATTTTCCGATTCATCTTTAGATCTGGAGTTTATTATGCTTGGCTAAGATTTACCTCATCTTTATCATTAATTGATTTAATCAAAAAGGTCTTGATATCTTTTGGTCAAACACTATGTATTAGCCTTATTGTAATATATAGGTCAAAATACGTTGCTACTATAACCTAAATACACAATAAACGCTTACGGATCACTCTAACTTTACACCATATATCTTGCTTGATAGATTAATCAAAGAGTATCAACATGAAATTAAGAGGCTTACCTCGATAGAATTCTCAAATCTTGTTGGTGTATTGCTTGAACAATGTTGAAGTCCAACTTAGCAAGCTTGAGCAAGAGAGGATTAGCATTTGACATTCTCTCATAAATGCTTAAATACCACTCTGTCTCTAATCTTGGCATCATCCAATGCCTAGGAAGTTCCAGAGCATGTTGTACTAATACGACCATTAGGTTGTGTTCATCATCACAATGATTGTCAACATAATTCTTTAGATGTGTCGCCGTGAATCTTGTGGCATATTTTAAAGTAGGTTCAGTTTCTGTGGCGAGAAATGAAGCTTCATATAATTGTAACAAACCTTTTGTATCATTACAAATACTTTCCTTGAGATTCTCATTTTCGTCCTTGAAGTCGTTGAATATATCTAGAACACAAGAAAACATATATCTTAAAGGTTGACATAGATACTCTTTCTTACATTGTGGTTAGCTCCTTCAATTATGTAAAAGAAAATATCTCTTGACGCATTAATTCACGTGAACTGTTCCTTCAATAGGTTCAATGTAAATTCAGATCAAAGACAACTCTGGTGTGTATTCTCAATTTTTTTGGGTGTACATATTTATTCGCGTTATGTTAATTCTAGATCTTGTTTTCCGGAAATTTAAGAACATATTGCAGTAATGGACTACCGCAAGTTCTGAGTAAACAAAATATCAGAAATTAGTTTGGCACCGACACGTACCTTGAGAGATATAAAAACCATGCTCTCTCAAGAGTCTAAATTTCAGAGCTGTGGCGTATAATGAATCTCTTGTGGCTGGAGTACTGTGCTGGTTTATGCTGCTCAAAATTTGCATAATTTCGTCCTTGAAGTGGTAACTAACTCCAAGCCTTTGCAAATTATCAATCAGCTCCAGCTTCTCTAATTCTTCTAATCCCTCAGCCATTATAATCTTCTTCATTTCTTCCTTTAGTTCGTAAAATCGCTTCATATACTTATCTCCCTACGCAACACATTTACAATTGATGATCAGCTCGAATAGTAACGTACGTAATCTTTTGAATGATACTACAACGAATTAATTATGCAGATTATTGCATAACATGAATGGACTGAATAAATGAATATGTGCTAAATAAATTTAATTTACCGTATAATCATTGTGTATGGACTGAATATACTCAAAATCCCACATGGTAGGTTCGTAATTTCCTGAACGTCTAGAGAGATTTTGATCTGAAGATGAAATAGCAGAGTACTGATTAGGTGATGGTTCAGCTTTCATGCCGCCTGCAACGGCGGTAGAGAGGCGGGCATTTGATACAAGTGACGGCGTTCCACGGCTGAAAAAGGAAATTGAACAAGTAGCTGCTGGTGGCGGAGGTCTTTTAGAGGTGGCCATGGGCAGCATCCCTACGTTGGTAGATATTGTCACGTCCATTGGTTCAGATCAAAGTTTGGAGAGAATTTCTAGAATAATTTTGGAACCCCAAAGAGTTGTCATCTAAATAGATTCATCTTTATAACACGTTTTTTGTGTGCGTCTTTGTTTTGACACAATAAATTGACTAAAAATAATAAGTGGACGAAGGAAGTCTATGTTTTCATAATTAGCGTCGGATATCGACGTGGATGTCAATTTTTTGATGAGTGAAAGAGAAAAGCAATAGGCCAGGGAACATAATTTTCTTGAAAACCCTAGATTTTTATGGAACATACTTTTTGAGGGGTAGCTTTATCATTTTGTTCATTCCTTTTGACTTTTTCCTCCTAAAAAAAATTGAAAACTGTACTTCAGCAAATAGTATATTTCCATTCTTTATATGGTATAGGTACAGTTGCATGATATATTTCTATATGAAGAACAACAATTGGAAGAAAAGAAATTCTGTGGTGGCCTGGCTTGATCTATTTCTCTAAAAGTAACTTTCTTAATTTGGACCACCGGTTTTTCTTGGAGAATGAAATAAGACTCTGTTGTTTTCTACGTATTATTTTATACTATAAGTTATAACACGATATATATGTACAAGATTCTCTGATTCACTCAAAGTTGAACTTAGTTTTCTACTTCAAGTATGTGAAAATAAAAATAAAAAACAACAAAAAAACCATGTTATATATCAGCATGATTCCTGATTTTCTCAAGGCAAGACTAATATATTTGTTGAAATTTTGAAAGAAATTCGAGAAAAAGAAAAAAGTTTGTACGGGCAATCCTTTAGGAAATACAAAAAATCTGAAGTATTATTATGTGGAAACTTAATGGGTGACTCTTGACATTATATGTATGACTCCGTGCTTTTGCTAGGGTTAAGGTCTAGAGCCCTACCTGTATTTTAGAATCCATAACATGAAAATATGGACCAGGGGAACATAATGCCTAACCTAGCTTGATTATAAGTTAGACATACCTAAAATAACATGCCGTGAAATTGTATGGTACTTTAATTGGAAATTAAAATTTGACGACCTAGGGAAGCTGGAAATTTTCTATTTTGTGTCTTACATGGCAAGTCATACTTATAAGGGTTTTTATTACTTGACAAGTGAATTCGTTAATTATGTGCTTACTTTAAGAGATAAAACTAAATTATTAGACTGTATAAGATCTAGGAAAGACAATTGGTATTTCTCACTGTACGTTTGATATATAGTACTCCCTTTTCCCATTTACTTGTTGTGTTTCGCTTTTCGAGAGTTAATTCGATTTATTTTTGAAGCAAAATTGGATTAGATATATCTCAATATTTTAAAATTAAAATTTGAATATTCGAAAACTATATGAAAAACTAGAGATTTCAATTCTTCTCATCAATAAGGTAAAAAACAATATATGTTAAAATGTTGGTCAAAATTTATATAATTTGAACCTAAAGAAGCGAAACATGACAACTAAATGAGAACGGAATGAGTATGCATTTATATACTTAGATATAAAATAATCTTTTTATGAATTTAGTTGATATAATATATATATATATATATATATATATATATATATATATATATATATATATATATATATATCATGAATAACTTGGGCTATTTGACGGAGGATGTATTACTACTTTAATTACCGTGAGACAATCGAGTATTAGCTTAGAGTTGTTGCTGAAGTTTCTAAACTCCTTAGTTGCCTTTTGTTTATACACTAATTAAAATAGGTTATGGTATATTAAATTTATTTAATGTTGATAATAACAATCGCAAAATAAGTTATACTTCTGAAATTTCAATAAAATTCATTTCTGAAAACATTGGAGAAGAGAAGATGAGAAAAGGTATTCCTCTACTAAAAACTGGCTAAATCCGCCCAGGAAAATCGATCGAAATCGGTCAGAAATTGAAAAAGAGCGATCGATTTCCGACCGCTTTTAATTAGTCGGAAAATGATGTCGCTAAGGTGTTTCGACCGAAATCGGTCGGAAATTTCCGACCTAAAATGGTCGGTTTATTCAATGCGTTGACTGACAGTCAAACTGCATTTACCGACCGAAATCACTCGGTATTAAATAATTTATTTTATTTTATTTTCAAAATACCGAAATCGGTCGGAATTTTACTATATAATAATTTATTTAAATATATAATATTTGTAAATTGTAATAAACTGTTAATTTATTTAAATAAATAAATTTAAATTCAAAGTTTCCAACTGACTTAGGTCGGAAATTTCAAAAATCTGGAGATTTAATTTAAAATTTTTGAAATTTTCGACCGAATCCGGTCGAAAATTTTGAATTTCTGGGCAAAAATGATATTTTCGACCGATTTCGGTTGGTTTTCTTGGTAAAAACTGGGCAGAATATGCCTGCTCTTAAGTTACACTACCTGCCAATAACAACCAATATCCATCCTATAATGGCATCATTACATTGTTGTCATTCAACCATAATTAATCAACAACAACAACAATTAACTAACAACAACAACGTAATAATCTAACAACAACAATTAACTAACAACAACAACGACAATTATCTAACAACAACAACAACAATAATTAACCAACAACGCCAATAACAACCACAACAACAACGCTAATAACAACAACTACGCCAACCACAACAACAACTATACAAATGTTCAATAACAAAATAATATCAACAATGCTAACAATATTCAAAATTGCTATATTCAATATTGTGATGACCCAAAAGGTCATCTTATGTTTTAGAACTTGATTTCGTATTCCGAGGCCTTCAAAATCTTATTTTATTCCTCCTCGATTTGTGTGCACAGTCCGAGCGTGTTTCCGGAAAACTTTTATGTTGAAAGTTGAGAAAAATAATAATTTTTGCCTTTAAAGGTTGATTTAGTTGACTTCGATCAACGTTTTGAGTAAACGGACCCGAACTCATATTTTGACAGTCCCGGTGGGTCCGTATCGAAATATGGGTCCCGGGCGTATGCCCGAAATCGAATTCCGAGGTCCCTAGCTCGAGAAATGAATTTTTGATGAAAATTGAAAGACTGAAAATTAAATGGTTTTAAGTATTGGTTAATGTTTGATCTTGTTGGTCTCAGGACCATATTTTTGTTTCGGAGCCGGGTACAGGTCCAAAATAATATTTATGCCTTATTCATGGAATTTGGTGAGAAACGGAACTGATTTGATGTGATTCGGACGTCCGGTTGTGAAAATAGGAATTCCATAGTGTTCTTAAGAATTTCAGGCGATTTGGTGCTTAATTCGTAGTTCTAGGTATTATTTTGGCGATTTGATAGCACGAGCAAGTTCGTATGATATTTTAAGATTTGTGTGCATGTATGGTTTGGAGCTCCGAGGGCTCGGTGAGTTTCGGGTAGGCTACGGAGTGATTTGAAAAAACTAAAAAATTTTTACTGGTATGCTTCAGGTCTGCAGACTTCGCATTGCGAAGTCTGGCTCGCAAATGCGAGCCTCGCATTTGCGAAGAAAGTTCGCATTTGCGAGAAGTGGGGCTGGGAGGGGACCTTAGCAATTGCGAAGCTCAGGATCGCAATTGCGATCAGCACCGGCCGCATTTGCGAACAATTGTTCGCATTTGCAATGTTAGCAGAACCAGGGCAGTCTTCGCATTTGCGAAGGGAAGTTCGGATTTGCAGGGTTGCATTTGCGAACCCCTGATCACAAATGTGATACTTGTAACTGGTCAAAATGATTTTGGGCGGAATTTTTCATTCATTCTTCAATTTTTCAAAACCTAAAACACAAGAGGCGATTTTCCAAAGACTCCTTCTTCCCCAAATCATAGGTAAGTGATTCTTAACTAGTTTTTTTTTTCAATCTTTCACTTCATTTTAAAAGATTTCAACCTAGAATCTAAGATTTTCATGGTGGAATTGGGGATTTTTGGTAGAAATTAGGAATTTCAAAATTTGGGGATTTAGACCTCAAATTAAGGCCAGAATTCAAAATCAATTGTATACCGGGATCGGGGGTGAATGGGTAATTGGTTTTTGGTCCGAATTTCGGGTTTGGACCAAGCGCGCCCGGGTGTTGACTTTTATAAAAATGGCCTAAATTGAATTCCTTGCTATCGTGGGTAGTTCCTATGGCTTAAATTGAATCGTTTGGTTGGTAATTTGCTAGATTTTATTGGTCCGGAGGCTTGTGTGAAGGGAAAACCTGTGATTGAGCTTTGAGTTTGTCCGTTGGAGCGAAGTAAGTGTTGTGTCTATCTTTGACTCGAGGAATTAGGAATCCTTGACTTAATTACTATGTGAAAATCCATGTGTGTGGCGTATAGGTGAGGTGACGAGTACCTATGCGCCGCCAATTTATCTGTTTTGCATGTTTCCTTCCCGTTCTTAATATATTATTTCCTGCCTTAACTACTATATGCTCTACTGGTGCTTCTATGTTAAATTGCTACTTGTCGGACATTATTTTCCATTGTTGAAAGTATTAGCTATTCCGTGGTTTCATCTTAAGTTGGTTTATCGGTGTTTATGGTATATTTTGGATTGATTTTGCTGAGTAGTATTATTTGAGTGAAGTTTCATAATTGTACAGCTTTCCGTTTGCTTTGGTTTGAGGTTTAAATATTGTGGAGAGTTTTGAGTTAAATTGTGAAAATTCATGTTCTTATTGTGTGATTAGTATTGATATGGTGGGATCGGGTTACGCACCGCAATAGGAGGAATGAGGGTGATATATTGAGGAGGAATAACGGTGAATTACTATTTTACGGTGGGATCGGGTTGCACGCCGCCACATGAGGAATAAGGGTGGATTGATATGGAGTAATAAGGGTGAATATTCATATTGATATTGATTACATGGTGGGATCTGGATGCGTGCCACATCAGTTTATGTGTTTATGTATCTTTCTTCTACTGTGAAGTTATTCTGTAGATTTGCATTTCACTTAAGGATTGGTTATAGCTGGGTTCGGATGAGATAATTGAGTTCTGCATTCATTCCTCGCAAGTTACGGTTTCATTTTGCTCCGTTCTTTTTACTGCTTTTATTATACACTGTATGTAGGTTATATTGTAATCGCCCCGCCGTATCCTCATCACAACCTTGTCGAGTT